CAAAATTGGATCGATGATAATCTCTATCGAATGTATATCTTCCATGTTCCAAATTTCCTCTATGATCTAGATTAGGAAGCGTTTGTTGTGTGCCTAAATTCTGTCCACTTCCTGAATTCTAGGGGATTGCTAAGTTTTGAGATGTCCCTAAATTCGGAGGGACTCCAAAATTTTGGGGCATGCCTAGTGTTTGAGGTATTCCTAAGTTATATCTCGAATTCCGCTGTGTTGAAGAAGTTCCAGCCCCACTCATATTATTAAGCGAAAACCCAGACGGTCTTACACTCATATATGACCCTACATATGTTGTTGTGGGGTTTCCTATAGTTTGCATATTATTTGGTACCACCGCACTAGATCCTACTTGGGTGTTTGTTAAGGTACCTGAATTTTGTTCGTTACCCACAGGTATCGATATACTCGCAGTTGTCGATGTTACAGGCATATTCCCATTATGACTTTGCCCCCCAGTATTTGGTGAATGTACACCATTTAGACCCTCACTGTTACTTTGGTTATTTGATGAATTTTGACTCATTCTTATAACTCGCCCACTCCTTAATCTCATACACTCTCGAACTAACCAATTTTGTGTTTTAAACACAAGGCTACCCCTACCTGGCGCGCCAATTTGTTTCTGGTGGAATTTTGATCGATTCCGATTCTTAAGAGATTTTGTTCTAACCAAAACTCAACCACGCAAGTTCTTTTTTACTTAGGCTAGCAAATGTTTTTTCAATCGAGATGCATATGAGAATCGTAAATATCACAATATCGAGAAAATCCCACTAACGTGTCATGACTTATCGAAAGCACTATTTTTGATATTTTGTATTTATATTACTCGAAGAGAAAAAGGGCAGTAAAATATCAAATAAAAAAAAAAAAAAACAGTACCGAATATTAAATTGCGAAGAAATGTAAAGTACGGAAACCTTAAAATTGCATTAAGTGTAAACGACAAGAAATCGAAATTGCGGAACTAACGGGAAATCGAGATTGCAGAAATGTAAATGGTAAAAAATCGAAATACGCGGAAATAGTAAATAACTGGAAATCGAATTTGCATCGAAGTTAAAGGACGGGAAATTTAAATGCAGAAAACTTAACTTCCATTAAACTGAAATTGACCGAGAATCGAAAACACAGAAACTTAAAGTTGCTAAACATAAAATGCATCAAAGTAAATTACCAAGGAAAATAAAGAAAGCGGTAAAAGTACTCAATGAGCGTGGAAATCCAGATCGCCAGAAACTTCATGATGTTCGTCGTTCTCCGGTAGACTTCTCACTAGTATTCTGTTCTCTGCCAATTTTCCACCACTCCCCTCTCATCTTTCGCTCTATTTATAGTGTCTATTCAAGTAGTTTCTTAAGAGCAGTTAACGAAAACTGCTACCATGTTCTTTGTGCACGTCTTTTTGCAGTTTTGCTCCTAGCTCTGTGGTTTAGAAACTGCATCCACGTTCCCATGCATGAGGTAACTGTTCCCTTGATCTTCGGCCTTAGCCACCGCTTACTATGTTCGATGTATATGTCGACTGTTCTTTTTAGCCAAAATTTAGATATTCGCGTATGTTAGCCTTCCTTTCGATTTAGACTTCGAGACTTCGAGAGTTTTGGATTGCTTTTGATTCTCGGTATCCTTAACGTTACATGATCTCGATTTTTGCTTCCCTTCACTTTTTCGATCTTTTTATTGATCTCTTACTAACAAAACAAATAAAATCAATTAAACTGAATATAAGAGTGGTATTCAAAACCTAAAAATGGAATACATTATAAAATAGACAAAAATTATTTAAAAACTTAAAATACATAAAAATACACTAAATAGATTCAAAAAATTACTGTGCCAGTTTAAAAAATAGAACAAATTCTTCAACTGAACATATTCATTTAGACAAAATGGTATATTCTTGAAGTGAACATATTCATCAATAGTGCCCAAAGTCCCTGATCATGGGAAGTTAATCACCAAATCGGGTTACCAAATTTAAGTAGCGATGATGACTAAGTTTTTCAAATACTAAAATTGATGGGGACTTATTCATAATTGTGATAAAATAAAATTCCATAATTGTGGGACCCACTTCATGTATTTATGTTGGTCAAAGGATCTTGGACTACTGCAAAGTTTAGTATAGGAAAAAATAATCTATAATGTCGGCTTCATTCATAACTTCTGTTTTTTCAGTATAAAACAACAAGGTGCATGGTACAAGAATTCTCATAATTTGTAGAAAATTTAAAATATATTAAATTTAAATATTTATTTTATTTTAATCTTTTAAATATTTTTTTAAAATAAACAATATAAATTTATTGAATTTTGGTGTTTTTATCTAATATTTTAATTATTCTTATATGTAATTTTTTTAATATTATAAATATTTAATAAATTGAAAATATCATATATAAATTAATTATGTCCGAGACGAAATCCAGAGAAAATATAATATATATATATATATATGTATTTCAGTGAAAAGATTATGAAGAAATCAAAATTATTATTTTTATATGAAGTTTGAAAATTCTCAAACAATTGATTTTCATCAACTTTTAAAGTTTCATTTCTTTTAAAATTTTATATCTAAACAAAATTATATAAAGTATTTCAAATTTTCTGGAAATATAAATTACTTAAAAAAAAACTTCCAAATGTCGAATTTTATAATGAAATATGTAAATATAAATTACTTAAAATAAGGAAGTGGTAGTGGTGACATGCCCTCAACAGAATTCATTACTGAACAATAATGACCATCTAGTTTGACCAACATCTCGTTATTTATCAGCATCTCTGATCAATTCGAGATGTCCCAACTATTGCCTTATCATCTTCCAAAGGAATGTTGAGATGTAATGTGATTGTAGTTATCAATCTACCAATTGTTAATTGTCTTGATGAAGTTTTTCCTACCTTAGTGAATTGACGTGTTAACCATGAACCTGAATCCAGTTGAACATCGTTGACCATACCCCATAAAAACAATAATTCTAATTTCCTAACAGCAGCAGTACTATCACCCCAAGCAAATAAAGTATGAGTCAACAAGTGGTGAGCGTACCGAAAACAAGGATGATGAATATGAGACTCTTTAGAATCGGAGGAAACAAAATTAGTGAAGGTAGATAATTGGTGCCAAAAGGAATGTTCATTAAAAGCATGGGGATATCTCCTCTCACCTCTACTAGGAAACCCGAAAATGACCTTCAACTTAGTTAAATCAAGATAATGAAAAACAGAAAAAACAAAATAACTAGAAATAAAAACAGTTTTGACTACCTAAACACTAACACTCAAATCTTAAGTGAACTAGATCACTAATATCAACAAAAAAATCAATCCCCGGCAACGGTACCAAAAACTTGATGAACGTTTGGCAAGTGCACCAATTGTTAACGTAGTAATAAAATATCGTCCTCTAGGATTGAATTTGTTGAATACTAGATTCCTAATGTACGTAAGTTTGAGCAATTGAAAATTTGGATAAAATAGCAAACATAGAATTATTATAAGAACTTTAATCAAAACAGGAACTGTTAAAGAATTGATTTTATACCCTTTCCTATATAATTCCAATATTTTTAATTGATGCAAGCAATGTAATTATCCACTTGAGTTTACCTAGAGTTGTTTTACCCCTAATCCCTTTAGTAGGCAAAACTATTCATTGAATCCGAACCCCCAATCCCTTAGGTCAGTTACGTCATTCAATAGAATCATAAAAAAACAATAATCTTCTCGATTGCAAACTAATTAGATATATGTCCAATTTCCCAATTGTGACAAACCCTAACCTGTTATATTTAGGATCGCGAACAACCTCCAATCTCCCAATCGTGAAACTGCTCGTGGAATGAACTTGAAAATTATAAATAGAACACTGAGATAAAGAACATTAACTAAACATCAATTGTCAAGAACAAGAAAATATAATTCAAAGTACTACATCAATCCTCTAACAACAGGGAAATCAGTTCTACATAATATAAAAATTGTCAAAAGATAATAACTAGAACGTAACAAATGGAGAATGGTTGCCCTATCCTCCATTTTTCAGCTTCGTTCCACCTTTTTTATAGGGTGTCCCACGTTTTTTCTCCACTTGTTGAGGTAGTTACCACTTCTCATAACCGTCTTGAATTTCTACAGGTTGTGGAAAAATCTACAATCAACCTGTGGAGCTTTCTGATCTTGATCTTTGCACTCTGGTATCAAATCCACATGTTGTGGAACATTTCACAAGGTACCTGTGGAACTTGCTGATCTGAAATCTTTCTATCTTGACACCAACTCCCTCCAAACTATGAATTCAAATTTCCAAACACCTATTTACAAGAACAATGCACAACCCAACATGTATGATCCAAAACAACGATAATGCATGATGAAATCATTCCCATAATGCGACAACATATGAAATTAACCTAAATTAATACATCAATATAATGATATATCTCATAACACGTACTGAACACTGGACAAATTTAAAGAAGGCCATGGTACTTGGTACTTGAATTTTGACCATGAACCCTTCATATTCAAAATCAACTTCTTTACCATCAATTCTCAATCCCTTTCCATAGCTTAATTATGCAGCAGATTAATCTTGGAGATGATTTGCTTTCTCTTAGCTACTCATGCTAAATATCAACCTCTTTTATGATACCAAATTAAAAACCAGATAGTTTACTTCTTTATTTTCATATTATTAATAGTTGAAGGATATATGAAATAAGGAGTGCATCAAAGAGAAAAAAATTACACTCTAGAAAAGAATTTTATTAATTGAATAAAAAAACTTTATATCATCACTCAATTCTCATATCACTTCTATTACAGAAAAGTACAAAAAGTAAGTGATCAAACATTTAAAGAAGGATACAAGAAGAAAACCTTAACATCAATCACTATGAGGGTTAAAAATCCCCTATTTATTATACACTGTGGACAATAATTCACAAACGTAAAATGTAAAATCACCTCCGGGATTAGAATGCATACTGAACAGGGGAGACTCTTGAAGAACCTGGCCATGGAACTTGAATTTTGATCATGAACCCTTCATATTCAAAATCAACTTCTATACCATCAATTTTGCAATTGCTTGGTTTCTCTGAGGCATAGGCCCTCATCTCCCCAGTGCCTCTTACTCCAACTTCCACCAAACCTTGAGTCTCATCAATAGTCAAGGACTGGACTGCTCCACCAGTGTTTAGCATGTTCACCAAACCAATAGGAGCAAACTTCACATACTTACCAGGCAAGACAGTCACAGGGGAAACTGTTATAAGCTCAAAGTTGAATGGTTCCAAGGAAATTTCTTCACTGTCAAAAGGTGTTGAGAGGATGAGTTTGTTGGCTTGACTGTAATACAAGGTGAAAAGTTCCACCCCTTCAATGGGAATAGGGTTCTTTCTGATGGTATATAAAAAAAGGCCAAAAAACAAATATAACAACTTGACAAAGAGTAATAATGCAGCGGAAATTCAATCCCCCTTCTTGCGAGAATCAGCGAGGAGCACCAAACAAATAGAATCCAAAGCACAAAGAGACACCAACAATTTTAACGTGGAAAACCCCTCAATGCAAGGGTAAAAACCACGAGTCGTCCAGCACCAAAGAAAAATCCACTATGATCAATAATGGGGTACACAAGAGTCTCCAATAATAATACCAAAAGGTATTTTCAATAAGCAGAATTAACTAAGCACAAATGCTTACAAAAGAGAAACAAAGAAGATGAAAAATCTCCAAAACAGGGCTGCTGGTGCGGGACCAATTTCTCCCAATCTAGACCTTCGATTGACGATCCGAACGGTCAGAATGAAGAACCATATGTCTGGAACCTACTATCCAAAAATCAGCTCGATCCAACGGTGAACGACTTCACAGCGACGAAAACACCAGTGCAGATTTAGGGTTATGCGGAGATGACTTTCTCTCTTTCTTTTTCTCTCACTAGACTTTTTGTCTTTTTTCAAATGACTCTCTTGTCCTCTACTAATCTGACCCATCTCATTTTACCCAAATGAGACATAATGGACCACACTATTTGGGCCTATTCTCCACATAGGAAGGGAGCCCAATAACCCAACAAATCTCCCCTCACGACTATGTGGAGATATCCGCCAAACCTAGCGATCTCACAACAAACTTCAAACTTTCCTCTTGGCAATGCCTTGGTCATCATATCAGCACCATTATCATCTGTATGAACTTTAGCTAGTTCCACCAACTTAGCATCCAAAACATCACGTATCCAATGATACCTCACATCAATATGTTTGGATTTAGAATGAAAAGTTGGATTCTTACCAAGATGAATAGTACTTTGACCGTCACAATACAACAAGTATTTATCTTGCACAAAACCAAGCTCCTGCAAGAATTTCTTCACCCATAACAACTCTTTGCATGCTTCAGTAAGTGCAATGAATTCTGCCTCAGTAGTAGACAACGCCACACACTTTTGCAACTTTGATTGCCAAGCCAAAGCTCCCCGCAAACCGAATCAAATAGCCCGAAGTGGACTTTCTCGGAATCAATGTCTCCAGCCATATCTCGAATCTGAGTAACCCACCAAAGTAGGCTTATCACCTCCAAAACAAAGTCTCAAACCTCTAGTACCACGAAGATACCTCAAAATCCATTTCACAAGCATTCCAATGCTCTCTACCCGGATTTGACGAAATCGCTAACCGTACCAACAACAGTGTGCAAAATCGAGCCTTGTACATACCATTGCATACATCAAACTACCCACCGCAGAAGCATAAGGAACTTTTCTCATAGCTATCTTCTCAACTTCATTTGAAGGACTTTGTTTAACACTCAACTTAAAATGAGTAGCAAGAGGAGTACTTACAACCTTAGCATTCTCCATTTGGAATCTTTGCAACACCTTCTGAATGTAGTGCTCTCGTGATAGCCAAAGTTTCTTCTCTTTTCTATCACGAGTGATACTTATACCAAGAATCTTCTTAGCAGCTCCCATGTCTTTCATGGCAAATGACTTGCCCAGTTGCTTCTTCAACCTCGTCAATTTTGGAAACATCTTTTCCAACAATAAGCATGTCATCAACATATAACAACAGGATAATGAAATCATTCTCGTAAAATTTCCCGACAAAAACACAATGGTCGAAGTAGTCTTCTTGTAGCCTTGCTCACACATAACGGACTCAAACTTCTTATACCACCGCCTTGGAGCTTGCTTCAAACCATATAGGCTTTTTCGTAGCCTACACACATAGTCTTCCTTGCCTTCAACAAGAAAACCATCCGGTTGCTTCATGTAAATCTCTTCCTCCAAATCACCATGAAGGAAGGTCGTCTTCACATCCATCTCGCTCAACTTCCAAATCAAGAGTAGCAGACTAAACTTAACACAGCTCGGATAGATGTCATCCTCACCACAGGTGAGAAAATCTCATTGAAGTCAACACCCTTTCTTTGTCTAAAGCCTTTCACCACTAATCCGGCTTTATATCCGGTAGATGTAGAATTGCTCTCTTGCTTCACCCCGAAGATCCACCTGTTCTCTAAGGCTCTCTTACCCTTAGGCAACTTCACCAAGTCATAAGTGTGATTATCATGCAGCGATTTCATCTCATCCCGCATTGCATCCAACCACTTTTGCTTTTCTTCACTTTCAACGGCCTCCTCATAACATTCAGGTTCTCCTTCATCAGCCAACATCACATACTCATTGGTAGAGTACTTCTTAGAAGGTTGTCTTGGCCTCGTCAGATCTTCTAGGTTGAGTTTCGTGTAGCTCGTGTATATCACCAAGACTCTCATCATGTGATACATCATGTTCCTCTTCATCAACATTATCAATAGGAACATCCAAGCTATCTTCAACCCGTTGATTATCAGTATCACCATGTTGTTCATCATCATGAGCATCAATATCCAAATCATTAATAGACAACCGAATTGGATCAACATCATCCACATTACCATTTCCTTTAGGTGTAGACTTCTTCTCCTTATCAATATCTTCAATGGTTTGATCTTCCATGAATTGCACATCACGACTTCTAACAACTTTCTTTTCAACGGGGTCATACAACTTGTAGCCAAATTCATCCTGACCAAAACCAATAAAGATGCATTGCCTTGTCTTCATATCCAACTTGGATCTTTCATCCTTCTGAACATGAACAAATGCTTTACAACCGAAGACACGTAAATGATCATAAGTAACATTCTTGCCAAACCAAATCTTGTCTCGGCACCTCGAAGTTCAAAGCAACTCGCAGGACTTAGATTAATAACATGCACTCGCCGTAAACAATGCCTCACCCCGTAAATGCTTAGGCAATTTTGCTTCGTAAAGCATACACCTAACTCTTTCAATCAATGTCCTGTTCATCCTCTCCGCTAAACCATTCAAGCTGAGGAGTTTTAGGAGGAGTCTTCTCATGTGCAATACCATATTGTCTACAATAAGCATCAAATGGTCCACAATACTCACCACCATTGTCGAGACGAATGCGTTTCAGCTTCTTGCCTGATCGCCTCTCAACCAAAACATGGAATTCTTTAAACTTGTCCAACACTTGGTCCTTTCTCTCGTAGTACATAAACCCAAAGCTTCCTGGAACAATCATCAATAAAGGTAACAAAGTAAAGTGCACCACTAAAAGACTTTACCTTCAATGGGCCACAAACATCGAATGCACCAATTCAAGCAACTCGACTTCCTGGAGGGAGGATGCTTCTTGAAGGATACTCCGGTTTGTTTACCAGCCATGCAATGAGAACATTTCTCCAAATCTACATTCTTCAATCCCGAGAGAACATCCTTTTTAAATAAGCAGTTAAGCCCCTTTTCACCGATGTGCCCAAGCCTTCTGTGCCACAAAGATGACTCCATATACACTGAATTCACACTATCTTTAGCAACCAAAGCTTTTGTCCAGTAAAGCTTAGAGTTTTTCTCCCCTTTAGCCACAATCAAGTTACCTTTGGTGAGCTTCCACTTTCCAGAACCAAAATGGTTATAATATCCACCATCATCAAGTACCCGCACAGAGATCAAGTTAAAGCGAACATCCGGAGCATGTTTAACTCCTCTAAGCAACAACTGCATCCCCATGTTGGTTTGCAAGTGAACATCACCAACACCAACAACTTTAGACACCCCATCATTACCCATCTTCAATACTCCAAAATCACCAGGTGTATTTATTTATTTATTTTTATTCTCTACTTCTTATCAATTAACCATTTTTTATTACATGTTTGGATTAGGATTTCCATTATTCGTGATTAAAAAGAAATGGTCATAATTAAGAATCAAAACTAATATTTATTATTGGTTTGTTCAAATTTGTAGTAGTAATTAATAAAAAAATCATATGCACATCAAATTTAGATTAATAATTAAATTATTAATGTATTTGAACCCTTTTAATTAAATTTATCAATTTAAAATAATTTTATATATATATAGAAAAAACATTATCCTTCTTATACCAAGTCAACCTACCCCTAATGGTAAAAACTAAGATTTCATATAAAGCAGCCATAGTTGAAAGTAAAGTAGCAGAGAACTTACTGGGACGACATGAACCTTAACCCCATCGATTCCATGAGCCTCTAACTGAGAGTGAAGCTTCTCAATCTCAGACATTCCACCATCCCTTTTCCAATACTCGCTAAGCGCGTGCCAGGCGTACACACACTCCACCGTTGAAAACTCCTCCTTCAACGCCCTCACTAACACTTCAATGGGCCTCATACACTGCACCCCATTCTCCAACAAAACAAACCCCGGAGGACACCCTCCTTCAACCAACCCCGCCACCCCTTTGCGAACGTCTTCAGGTTCAAACTCCTCCCGCGTGCACCACCCGAACTTTTCGATAATTCTGGGGACGGTTTTCTCTTCGAGGAGCTTGAAGGTTCCCAGGTGATCTCTCAGCACGCGCGCGGCTTCCTCCACCACAGTGTAAGGGTTCTCCCCCGCGTGAAGGTAAACCACGTAGGAGGAAGCCGTCACGTGGCTGGATCCGCTCTCCACGCAAACCGAGATGTTGTCGTCCAGGCCGGGCTGCAGCGTGGCGCGGAATGGGCCGTCGACGATTGGGAGGAAAAGGACGTAAGGGCGGCTCGGGTTGGATTGGAGCAGGAGAAATTCGGTTTCGGTTTGGACATGACTGCCGTTTGAGCCGGTCCAGATCGCGGTCTTCCACTTCTGGAAGCGGAAGATGGAGACGAAGGTTGCGGGTTGGAGCTTGCCTAAGGTTTCCACGTGGTGGGAACTTGGTGGTGAGGTGGCGTTGACGGCGATGAAGCAACCGGTGGCGGGCGCGTAGGTGCATGTGATGTTGTGAGGGACTTGGGACATTATAACATGGTCATGTACTCTCAGGGTTGAGTCTGAGAGTGTGAAAGGAGATGAAGTTATCCTCAAACTTTGAGCCATTTGGTAGGAATAAAATGTTTCCACCGGGTTGATGATGGAGGTGTGCAATGGTATATTTATAGGAGAAGGTGAAAAATCCTTTGTTGTTGTTTTCTAGATTGGCTTGCTTTTTGGTTTAAGAATGGAGGACCTACCTACGTACGTACATGATTGATAGAAGAACTGCTTAGGGTCGGTCAACTTAAGTACGCACCCAAAAATTTATATATCTAAATTTCATATTTTTAGATACTTTTTTAGACCTATTTCCCTTACTAAATACGCAGCCAAAAATTTATATATCTAAATTTCATATTTTTAGATCCTTTTTTAAACTTATTTCCGTTACTAAGTACGCAGCCAAAAATTTATATATCTAAATTTCATATTTTTAAATATTTTTATTTGAAAATATTTTTTAGACCTATTTCCGATACTAAGTGTATCCAAAATTGAGCTAAAAATTTGGGTGTAGGTGAATCTTTGTCTTTTTCTCTTCCTCTTTTAATTTATGATGATAGTGGTTCACTTTTCCTTATCATCTTTTTTTTTTTTTTAATTTAAATTCAATCAAGTCACTACCTTTACATATATTCTGATGCAATCAGAATTCACCTAATAAGAATGCATAAATATCTATTATTATATATTCTTTTTTTATCTTCAATCACATTTTATTACTTATATTATTAATACTATTCTCCCTCTATATCAGAGGTTTTATTTGACATTATATGTCTATGTATAATTTTTCTGAATTAAAAAGGATACATTTTTCTAATCCTAACAAGCAAAAGATTAAAATTGGGGTTGGGAAGAATACTTACGGCAATATTTTAGGATTAAACCCTAAACCCTATAATATTATTTTAACTATAGTGTGTGAAATGAGATGACTCAAGTTTTCAAAAAAGCAAAACGGGAGAATGATTTATTTACGTTGGTTATGGAAGGCAAAAGATGTAGGAAATTATGCCTTATTCTACCACTAGAGATAGTCAAACATTATGCAAAGATATAGCCTCTGTTCTGTTCTACACTTTCTGTCACATCATCATTGCAAGGGTTTCCACCTCTTAGTTTGTTGCTACTTCTGTCAAAACACAACTTAATCAATCTATTCTGCATTCTTTAAAATTCAACCAATGAGTCAAACATTATCGAGTTGAAACCTGAAGATGATTTTGTTTTCTACTATACCTGATCAATTAAGTTATAATATCAAATTATAAAACTAGTGAGACTATTAATTTCTTTGTTCCAATTTAAAATCAATCAGTTTCTTACTTTTAAGTTATTGTTTAGACAGAATGGTATATCCTTTTAATCTATTGATGATGGTGGCTTATTCATTTGATTCTCTTTATCCTCTTCTTCTTGCTTTAATTCAACTCTGTGTTCATATATTCTTTTTTTCCTTTTTAATTATAAATTTTGTTTTTAATTTAAAAACACTTAGTTTAAATTTAATCAAGTCACTATGATTTATAACCATACTATGCAACGAACATTTTGATAATAAATCAAAATTTACCTTACTTATAGTTTGTTGAATAAAGATGCATAAATATTTATTATTTTTAAATATTTAATTAATATATTATTTTATTTATCTTCTATCACATTATATATCATAATGGGAGCTAATTTTCAGTCAAAGATTTAGGAATTGTTGGATAGAGAAAGAATCTTATAAGCTAAAATAAATGATTAAAATTCCAAAATTGTGAGATCCACTTTTGATTATTTTAACTAAAAATGTGTGAAATGAGATGACGCTCTAATGCTAAGTTTAGTATTATAATTAGGAATGGATAATGTATATGCCAAAATATGATGGGTGGTCCTAACTTTTGAGTCTTTTTTTTTCTTTTTTTTTTTAAGAATATAGAAGAGATTAAGGGTGGTCCTAAAATAGAGTTGGCATATTAGGTTTTGAAAAACTTGTGTATTTCATTTCAAGATCATTCCTTTTGAAACAAATCATCCATCCACTGAAAGGAGAACTGTTCTCATCTCAATTTTTTTAATGGGTAAACCTGTGATTTTTCGAATTTCATGTTTGTAAATGTATTTTTATATTAGCTTTTTTAAAATTTAATCATAAATATGATATTATTTAGATTGAATAATTTTGTATAATTGAAGTGTAATTAAACATATAATTCATGTATAATATTAATAATTATTTATCTTTAATTATTTAATAGAGGTAATAAAAAAACATCAAATAATCAAAAGACGATGATGAAGAAATTATACATAAATAAAAGAAGAATTCAGGATAAAAAACAAAATTTTAAAAAAGATATTTTAAATATTTTTCTTGAAGTATGAAAGTATAAAAAATATTATAGGGTTTAAGAAGTAAAAGTCTTTTAGAATCTTTTGAGTCCACTATCAAGATTTCTTAATAACTAAAAAAAAAAGTGTTTGAACTAAGCTTTTGAGTACTTGAAAATTAAGAATTTAGGGTTTGTGACAATTTGTACATATATTATAACAAAACCTTTGCAGTTGAGCAGTCTGAACCATAGTAATATTTTCTTAATATTCAAAGGCAAACTTGATCAATCTATTCTGCATTCAAACCTGAAGATGATTTTGTTTTTCTACTAATTACTCATTCTAAATATCTAGCTATAATATCAAATGATAAAACTAGAGAGACCATTTCTTTGTTTTCCAATTTTAGATCAATCAGTTTCTTAATTTAAGTTATAGTTTAGACAAAATGGTATATTCTTAAGGTCAACATTGTTCAATTGGTAAATGTGTATAAAAGCAAGTTATATGAAACACTATAATGAGGGATAAAAAGTCCCTTGACATCATTCACTATGGACTATAATTCAAAAAATAAAATGTTACTCCCTAGCTCAGAACACATACTGAACACTGGACAATCTTGAAGAAGGCCATGGTACTTCAATTTTGACCATGGACCCTTCATATTCAAAATCAACTTCTTCCCCATCAATTCTACAAGTGTTTGGTCTCTCAGAAGCATAGACCCTCATCTCACCAGTGCCTCTTACTCCAACTTCCACCAAATTTTGAGCCTCATCAAAAGACAAGGACTGAACTGTTCCACCAGAGTTTAGCATATTCACCAAACCAATACAAGCAAACTTCACTGACTTGCCAGACAGCACAGTCACAGGAGAAACTGTTATAAGCTCAAAATTGAATGGCTCCAAGGAAATCTCTTCACTGTCAGAAGGTGCTGAGAGGACTAGTTTCTTGGCTTGGCTGAAATACAAGGCGAAGAGTTCCACTCCTTCAATGGAAATTGGGTTCTTTCCACTGTCCCACTCAATGTCTTTTGGATTGGTCTTGGTTGATACCTTGTGAGAAAACTGAGCAGCACATTTGTTGGACCTAATTTCGCGGAACCAGCCTCCTCCCTGACAGTTGAACACTCCAAGAACTCCAGTGTACTGTTTCAAAAAGCAAAATCACAACACTGTTAGGTTCTAGTCCAATCTGAGAATTTGTTTCGGTAGTAGTAGTAGTAGTAGTATTTGAGATTTGGAAAGGAGAGGATGAATTGAACAATGGATTTGAGGAGTGTAGTTGACCTTGTTGAGGTTCCATATCTTGAGCATTGTTTTGCCATCATGGAGAGGGTCAGAAAAGAGACAGTCTCTGGTTGGGAGAGCATAGTGCTCACATCTGAGAATGGATCCATCAGGCAAGACTAGGGTCTTGAGCAGCTCAAAGTTATGGTTGCCAACTGTGTCACTGATGTAAATGGGGCCACCAGATATGGCTCTTGAAGCTGCATGAAATGCAGCACAAGGGTGAGTAGATTGGAACATGTCCCAATCTGGGTGGATGAAGTTCCCCATCCACAAACTGTTGTAAGCACAATGAACCATGTGACATCCTTGTAGCCAATATGTACCGTTTGGATCACCATAAGGATCAGTGCACCAGAAATCATCCCCTGATTCAATCCAAATCATCAACATACATCAGATAAAAGAAAATTAACTCCAAATAGTAAAACTAAAAGAGTCCAATGTCAGAAGGTTCCTCCATATGCAAAGATAAAGAGGAGGTGAAATTGCAACTAACAACACTAATAATAATATTTAGTTTTAGGTTGTCTTGTGGTATCAAATCAAGGAACATGTCACGTACCAACACGACCAAGGGATATTGCTTCAGTTCCCAGCAACATGAAATCGTTGCAATGCTCCATGCTGGCAATCACGCCGTTGCCTTTGAAATGTTTTCTCACTGAAGCTGTGAGAGCTTTGAAGTATGCTTTCGCCATATCCACTCGTCCTCCATATCTCTCACACACCATTTCTAGTAACTGTTTTACAATTTCATTACATCACAACAACTGAGAATCCATACAAAGAACAACATACCAACCAAAAGAGAAAGAAAGAAATCGAAGATAACTAATAGGAAGTAAAATCGTACGCAAAAGTTCATCTTGGTAATTTGAATTTGACAAGAAACATAGAATTAAGCAGATAAATGTTGACTTTGAAAAACATAGATATTCTCAAAAGAAGAAGTATAATTCGAAGGGCAAAACTTCAATTTAAAACAAAAAAAATCACGCGCCGACCAAAAGAGAGTGAAAGGGAAACGAGATCATATTAACTGTAATAAAATAAAAGTAAAACAAATCAAAATTCTCTCTCCTTTATGTAACAAATGATATGTATTTTTTACCAGTGAATGTAACAAAAGGTATAAAAAAAAACTTTTCTCTAGCTTTTTTTTCTTATTCTCTTCCGAACACATAAACAATGCATCGTATTTTGCATTACTTTTTGATTATCATAATAAATTTGTTAAGTATACTATTTTTTTTAAATTATTTCTGTAAATATATCACTTTTTTTATTACTCGTAAATTCGTTTTTTTTTTGTAATAATGTGTTAAAGGATTTTTAAACTCTCATCTAATCTAATTATAAAAGTGGTAACCATAAAATTTTGATATCTTTTGCAAGTAATTTCAAAGTCACACTTGCTATTATTTTTTAATAATGATTGCTTTGGAAAATATTTGTTATTTTTTCACCAAGAAAATTCGTTGGTCGATATTCGTTAGTCGCTAACTAAAATCCAAGAAACTTGAAAAAAAAAATTGAATTCCCCTGATAATTTGACCTATAAGGTTTCCCTATTATTTTTTTCTATAATTATCAGTTTTATATTTTAATTAATCAAAGTAATTTTTACACTATTTTAAATGAATATGTTAAATTTAGCATTCAATAATTAGATTGGAATGATAAAAATTTGAGTAAATAAAAACATTCTAAAATCTAGATATTGAAATACTGAACAAAATCGTGAATTAAATAAAGAAAAAACAAAATTATAATTTCTAAAAATAGAATCTTTGTTGGAAGTTGGACAGTGTATTGAAGAAAAGGACACTTACATGGATGACATCGACTTTGACCCCATCAATCCCCGCACGCTCAAGGTGCGCGTGAAGCCCCTCGTACATTTCCGCCACCGTCTCCGGCGGCACCACCCCTACTCCGTTCTCCACTAACTTATCCACGGCGAGATCCTCCATCGTCATCTTCAACCCCTCCGACAGCAACGGCCTCTCCACCACCGCCTCCGCCATCCCCGCCACCCCGGGCCTGATTCCTCCCCAATAGCCGCAGAGCGCGTGCCACACGTACACATACTCCACCGTCTCAAACGCCTCCTTCAATTCCCTCACAAATCCCCCCAACCCTTCCCCGTTCTTGTAATCCCTAAACTTGTAATTCTCCTCGTAACTGATCAACCTGCAGGGCATCTGTTCTCCGGCGACGGTCTGATTCATGCCCTCCTTCTCGGGATCGGCGTCATGGCTGATGCACTGCCAGCCATCGTCGATCAAGACGAACCCCGGAGGACAACCGCCGTCAACGAGCCCCTTGATGCCCTTTCTGACGCCATCAGGGTGCACCGTCAAGTAAAACGCGTCCCACGTGCACCAACCGAACTTGTTCACGATTTCTGGAACAGTCTTCTCTTCCAGAACATTGAAGCTTCCCAAGTGCGCTCTCACCACGCGCGTCGCTTCCTTCACCAACGTGAACGGGTTATCCCCTGCGTGCACGTACACCACACTCTCGTACGACGATCCTGTCACTTTACTCGACCCACTCTCCACGCACACCTTCGAACAATCACAGTAAAACTAGGTTAACATTTTTCAACGATTCATGGGTTAAAGATGGTAATTTGATTCAAACTACAAGAAGAAAGTTACCGAAACATTGTCGTCTGAACCAGGTTGGAGCGACGCGCGAAATGGACCTTCGATGATGGGGAGAAAGAGAACATAAGGACGGTGAGGATTGGATTGGAGCATGAGAAATTGAGTTTCGGTTTCGAGGTCACGACCGTTGGAACCGGTCCAGAGAGTGGTCCACCACACCTTGAAGCGGAAGATGGAGGAGAAGTTGATGTTTTTGAGTTGCCCCAAGGGTACCACGTGGCGTGGTTGGGGAGAGGAAGCGTGGAAACCTAGGAAACAACCTGTGGTGTGATTGTCGTAGGTGCATGGTGTGAGGGTTATGTTTTCCGGCACTTGGGAGAGGATGACGTGGCCATTTACTTTTAGGGTTGAGTTGGAGAGGGTGAAGGGGGAAGGGTTGAACCCATTGACATGCTTTGTGATGGATGAAGGTGAGGGTTTGTTCAAGCTTGGAGTCATAGTGAGAGTGAGAAACTTAGAATGGAAGAAGATGAATGTGTGATAGATTTTGATCTGTGATATGTGTTTTTGGAATGTGTGGTTTGGCTTGGTGAAGTTGGGAAGAACCATATTTATAGAGGTGCCATGAACATGAAGGTGAGGTGAAGGTCGGTTTTGAAATCGAATATTTATTTCAATGTCTTGAATAAATTATTTTTTAATATATTTACTTTTTTATTTTTGTTTTCAAAGTTCTTTTTCTGTGAGTCTCACGAAAGCACTACTACCCGCCAATGCACCGCCACGTAGGGTATTCTATTTTTCAATTTATTTTTTTATTTATTTTTATAACTTTTTTTCTTTTAACTTTTTTATGAGACGCAAAATTGTTGGCAAAATTTGTGAGAAGACGTGCACCGACACATGCCACGTGTACGGAGCATGGGTCCAACTAAACCGACCTTTAACGCGCATTTGTTGATCCAATATAAAACACTAAATACGAGGATTAATATATATATATATATATTAAAAATATTTTGATTATGTAAATATATAAAATATATTGTTGAAAGGAAAAATATAGACAAGTATAATATTTATTATTGATATTTAAAAAAAAGTTATATAGTAATAATGAACAAATAAAGGATAGTATAAAATATTATGGAGAAAATAAAAAAATTCCATTCGTGAGTTTTGTTTAATTTTAGAATGCATATCCCATTTATATTATATACGTTATATCAATAAATCAATACTATTAATGATGATATTTTATTCAATATATAAAGAATAAATTTAATTACTCAACAATGTATATAATAAAAAAATAGAAATATAATGTATAATTATTCAGTATACTTAGTCATTCAAAATAATACTATTTGTTACTAAACATGATTAAATAATGGTTAAAATAAATAATACAATAAGATTATATATTGTATTTTCTCATTATTTACTTATTTATTTTATATATTGTTATTTTTCTCATATAGATTAATATAAGCATAAGACAGTTTTTTTCAAATAGACCTTTCCTTCTGCAAATTTTATTTGTTGAAGGTTCAAGTAATTGATTAATCGTTATGTCCGAACACTTATACGAAGACCTAATTTTCTAAGTAAGAACACTTAATATATCATATTATTAAAAATAAAATATAATTAAAATTTTCATATTGAATATAAATAAATAATAATAATGTTAAAAGGGTTTTTTTATTTAAAACAGTGTCACGTTGGTATCAAGTAGGCTCGTGCAGTAAAATGATAACCCTAATATACTTCTCCTTAAAAATCCCAACACATATTTTATGCAGTAAAAAATGTGTTGTTAATCCAATAAATCAAACGGTAAATCATATAAAATACAAATCTAAAATTAAATTATCTAATTTTCATGCATGTATATGCTCTATTAATTGAATATTTTTATGGTTTTCTTCAAAGACAAATTATTTTTTAAATCTGATTGTTTTAAAGTATTTTAATATAAATATTAAACTTATATATATTTTCTAATCGTATTATTTGAGAAATCAGTAGTTATATTTTACTTACTTTGCATTTTAACTAATCTTCCTTTATTCAATCACATTTTTAAATTATTCTAAATTTTAATTATTTATAATCTTGATTACACTTTTATAATAGCTATGATTGAAAAATTTTACACATTAAACTTGGATTACATGTTTTTATTTCTTCATATATATTTTTTTATATAAAGAAGTGAAGGATGCGATAATGTGAAGAACATGCACTAGTGCAGAATATGGCTTTTACGTCACCCAATTGTCGTCGCATGCACGTATATTCGACGTAAATAAAACGCGGTGGCAATTTTGTAAATACGGGACAAAAAATTTACGTCGCACACCCCGATATGAGACGTAAAAAGTCATCTTTTACGTCGCACACGGAGGCGCGACGTAAAAGATGGCCTTTACGTCGCGTACGGGGGCGCGACGTAAAAGCTAAGGCTTTTACGTCGCGTCCCCTATGCGCGACGTAAAAGGCCATCTTTTACGTCGCGCCTCCCAGTGCGACGTAAAGATGACTTTTACGTCGCTTACTACTGCGCGACGTAAAAAGTCTATTTTATTTCCCTCCGCCCACTTCCTCGTCTCGCGCAACCGGGGTTTTTAGAACGACGACGAGAACGACGACAACGACTACCTCGCACACCATTTGCGGCGGTTTACGGTGAAAAACATCTACATTGTCGTGTCATTTGACGAACTTCATCTTTCTCCCAGATTGGATTCGAGTTTGAAATCGGTTTTCGTCTACACTCGAGGTTAGTGTTCATTGTCATTGCTATATGTTTACATTGAATCCGTGATTGTTTTTGGGGATCTCAATCACGTTATAGTATGAATGTCTCCATTTGGATTGTTATTGGAATGCGGTTATTTGTTTATTTGTTTGAGTGCATTCGGTTTACACACTCCATTGTTGTTGGAACGTGCTTTGTTGTTTGTATATTAATTTTTTTTACATATAATTTTTAAATCTTTAGGAGTGACGAAACTTTATAACATAATATGAATCGAAGTTGGATGAATGCACGTCGTATTAGTGAAGAGTACGAAAAGGGAGTTGAGGAATTTACGAAATTTGCTAGTGAAAATGGAAAAGCTATGAAAGGGACATATTATTGTCCATGTGTTCGTTGTTTGAATCAAATTCGTCATAAACTTGAGGATATACGTGATCACTTGTTTGTTTATGGTATTATTAAGAGTTATACAATATGGACATGGCATGGAGAAATATTAGACATCCCAATTGTGTCAACTACGGACAATTTTGATGAAGGGATGGATGATAATCTAGAGGATATGATACGTGATATTGGTGAAGAACATTTTATGAAAGCACATCTATATGATTCTTTGAAATCGATTTTGCGCAACAATTGTACATAGGATGTAGTTTTACAAGATTATCGGCAACTTTAAAATTGTTTACTTTAAAAGCAAGAAATGGATGGATTGATAAAAGTTTCACCGAATTATTGGAGTTGTTGAAGGAGATGCTTCTCGAAGATAATACATTACCTATTCGTAACTATGAGGCAAAGAAGATATTATGTCCAATGGGTTTAGAGTACAAGAAAATACATGCATGTCCTAATGATTGTATATTGTACAGAAATGATTTTGCTAAATTAAAGATGTGTCAGACATGTGGTTTGTCGAGGTTCAAAACCAAAGTTGAGGAAAGTAGTGGTGAGGAAGAACTAGATGGTCCCCCTGCTAAGGTGTTATGGTATTTGCCAATTATACCTAGGTTTAAAAGATTATTTGCCATAAAAGAAGATGCAAGAAACTTGACATGGCATGCAAATGGTAGAAAATGTGACAATCTTCTTCGACATCCAGTGATTCTCCACAATGGAAAAGGATTGATGAAACCTTTCCGAGAATTTGGTGCGAGCCAAGAAACTTGAGAATTGGATTAGCTACGAGATGGGATGAATCCTTATGGAAATTTAAGTAGTAAACATAGTTCATGGCCGAGTTATGTTGATCATTTACAATTTGCCTCCTTGGTTATGCATGAAGAGAAAATATATGATGTTATCTATGATGATTTCGGGACCTCGACAACCAGGAAATGACATAGATGTATATCTTAGTCCTTTAATTGATGATTTGAAGATGTTGTGGGAAAGCAGGAGTGGATGTATTTGATTCATATCACGAAGTGAATTTCGGGTTGCGTGCAATGTTATTTTGTACTATAAATGATTTTCCGGCATATGGTAATTTGAGCGGTTATAGTGTGAAAGGTCATTTAGCGTGTCCTATATGTCAAGAAGACACAAGTTATATCCAATTGAAACATGGACAAAAAGCTGCGTACAATAGGCATAGAAAGTTTCTAGTTGCTAACCATCCATATCGTAAAATGAAGAAAGCATTTAATGGATGTCGGGAGAATGCGGTTGCATCGGTACCACGCAATGGTGAACAAGTATATGAGCAAGTGAAAAATATTAATATTGTGTTTGGAAAGACCCAAAAGAAATCCAATGAGAAAAACATTTGGAAGAAACGATCTGTATTCTTCAATCTTCCTTATTGGTGTAAGTTGGAAGTTAGACACTTGTATAGATGTGATGCATGTTGAAAAAAATGTTTGTGATAGTGTAATTGGGACATTGCTTAACATAAAAGGAAAGACAAAAGATGGAATAAAAGCAAGACAAGATTTGGCGGACATGGGTATACGTTCGAATTACATCCACAATCAATTGGAAAACGCACTTACTTACCTCCGAGCTTGTCATACTCTATCAAAGAAAGAAAGAGAAGCTTTTGTGAGTGTTTACGTGAGGTCAAAGTGCCACAAGGATACTCCTCAAATGTTAAGAGTCTTGTGTCTATGCAAGAGTTGAAATTAGTTGGTTTAAAGTCTCATGATTGTCATGTGTTGATGCAACAACTTTTACCGGTGGCTATTCGAAACATCTTACCAACTACGTTAGAATTGCTATTACTCGGTTATGTTTGTTTTTCAACGCCATTTGTAAAAAGGTAATTGATCCAAAAAAGTTAGATGAATTAGAAAATGAAGCAATTGTAATAGTGTGCCGAGTTAGAAATGTATTTTCCCCTTTCATTTTTTGATATCATGGTGCATTTGATAGTCCATTTGGTAAGGGAAATTCGATTATGTGGTCCAATTTTTCTTAGATGGATGTATCCTGTTGAGAGATACATGAAGATCTTAAAAGGATATGTGAAGAATCGATACGAGGCCGAAGCTTCTATTGTGGAAAGGTACATTGCGAAGAAGCCATTGAGTTTTGTCAAGGATATATGTCAAAATCGGAACCAATAGGTATTCCTAAGATGAGACATGATGGAAGATGTGAAGGTAAGGGTACTCGAAATTTGAAGATTAAAAATGTTAGTCGGAAAGAAGTTGACCAAGCACATTTATACATATTGAACAACAACGATGAAGTAATCCCTTACATATCACAACACATAAGCTGAAAT